CTACTACTACTACTACTACTACTACTACTACTACTACTACTACTACTACTACTACTACTACTACTACTACTACTACTACTACCAGTACTACAACTGATCCTACTGGTACTACTTCTACTACTACGACTAGGAGCCGAAGAGGAGGAAGAGGAGGAGGGAGAGAAGGCGATGGGAGGCAAGACAGAAGGCGGTCGTTCACCAGTCCTACACGTAACCGACTCTGTCGACTCACACGACGGCGACGTCCTGGACCAGAATGCATGTGGTGTGCGTCGTTGGGGCCCCTCGCCCTGGTGTGAGTCGTTCGGGCTCTTCCTTGTGTGAGTCGTTCGGGCCCCTCGCCGAACGACTCACACATCGAGGAGGGGCCCGAACGACTCTGTCCAGGAGGGGGGACCCGAACTACTCACACCAGGAGGAGGGGCCCGAACGACTCCCACCAGGACGAGAAACCCCAAACGACTCAAACCACGAGGAGCGCTTTCTCTCCCTCCTCCTCCGCCTCGTCCTTCTCCCGCTCCCCCCAAGGAGGATGTACAAGGAGGCGGGAGGAAGGAGGAACAGGGGAGATATGCGGGGGCAAGCGGACACACGCCTGCAAAACACAATTGTCGGCATGCTTCGCAAGAGTTGCTGTTGTGAGATGGGCTGGTGGGGATACGCGAAGCGTAAAGAATTCATCGCCTCGCAGACGGGCTGCTACCTTTCCCTCTTTATGGGGACACACTTGAATCATGAACGAGATGGTAGAATCAATCCAGAAGTTCAGGAAGACGGTCTCCACACCTGCAAAGGGTGATGGTCGCTCGGAATCAGGCACGACAGCAGGCGAGGCGATCCTGGCCAAGACGCACGTGGCTACGACGTCCTTCGAGCACCTGCGCCGGAGCGGCAAGTTCGTGTTCTATGGGTTCCCTGCAGTGATGTGGAACCTGAGTTCGGGCAGCGTCGCCATAATCTGCACTTGTTTGGTGTCCAACGTCGGTATCGCCAGCGGGCAAACTGCGACCGCCAATCGGTCGTTGTTGACATTCGTGCGTTCACTTGCAGATCCATGGGTTGTCATCGGGGCTGGGATTACCCGCCCAAGGAGCTGGCGGCAGCTCGGATCCATGAGTTTCTCCACGGCGAGATGGTCGCTCCTTCGTGCGAAATCACACCTGCGATAAAGGATGGCGCGGCTCGATGACCGACTGCGCCATCATGAACGTTGGGCTGGCCTCCAGAGCAGAATTAATTCTGGTGGAAGAAGTTCCTTGGAGGGCCCATTGTGGTATCGCCATCGCGGTGAATGGCGCTGGCCAGCCCTTCTGGTATCGTAGGCTCTGGCTGCCCCGGGCCTTCCCAGTCGTCGATCGGCCAGGGAAGGAGGCGGACCCGACTAACAAGTCCAGCAAGCGACGGGAGGAGCTCAGGCAAGCCCGCCGAGAGCGTTTGGCGCCCGTGTCTCAGGCAGCTGTCGACCAAGGGGGATGAGGGGGAGGAGGGGGAGGAGGGGGAGGAGGAGGAGCAAGAGGAGGAGGAGGAGGAGGAGGAGGAGGAGGAGGAGGAGGAGGAGGAGGAGGAGGAGCAGGAGGAGGAGGAGAAGGAGGAGGAGGAGGCCTGGTGGAGAGCCACCGCCGATGCCACTGGAAGTGATCGCCTTCTTCGTGTCGGCTGTCCTTTGGCACTGGGGCGAGGCACGAGTTGATCAGGGCGAAAGGAGTGGCGTCTAGGGCTGCAGCCTCTGGCACGCATGCACGGCCGCCCTCTCCATCCTTCCCCCTCCCACTTCACCTTCTCCTGGCCCTCCTCCCACCTCCTCCTCCTCCTTCTCCTCATCCTCTTTATCCTTCTCCATTTTCTCTTCTTTCTCATGCTCTTTCTCTTTTTTCTCCTCCTCCTCCCATCCTCAACCTCGTCCTCACCCTGTCCTCTCCCCCCCTGGTCCGGCCTGACGGAGTGCACCGAGCTGGGCGTACTGGCCTGGCAGGGGCGGCTTGTGCTGGGGAGGTCGTTACGACCTCCTCAGCACGTCGTCACGATTGCCATCTCCAATGCAGTCTGGCAGCCTCTGCACACTAACACAATCAAGCGTTTTCCACCAAGACGGCCCAAAAGGGCCCCACCGCAGCTCAATACTTCTCTTCACGAGCCCAAGATCGGGAGCGGCCAAGAGGGGGGTGTCCAAGAGGAGGGGGTGCAAATCATGACCTGCGGCATGTGCGCGGCCCAGCGGGGGGGCCAGGGCCGTAATGAAACAAGAAGCGGCGCCATGAGATCTGGGGAAATATCATGGCCCCCGCCATGATATCCACCCCCCCCTAGTCATCACCCCCCTCTTTTCCGCTCCCGACAAGAAACCCCCAAGGCGGACCAAATAAGCCCCAGGATTATGTTGCTCCTATCGTACTTAACGAGAACATCACAAACATAATTTCGAGCACCCAGAAAAGCACCGAAACGGTGTCGAACGGGTACCGCCTCGCAGGGCCCGGCTCGCGGACACCCTCCAGCTTCGATGCTTTCTCGTGGTGCTCGAGCTTCTCGCTCCGGCGATCGAGGCCCAAACAGGTAGGGTTTAGGGTTTAGGGTTTAGGGTGTAGGGTTTAGGGTCTAGGGGCTAGGGTTTAGGGTTTAGGGTGGAACATCCCCACCCCGGGAGAACTTCCCAGTAGGTAATTCGCGATGCTGCACGCTGCGACGCCGTCCCCGGCGATGCTCGAGGTGCCGCCACGCAGAGTGCTCCGCCGGCGCGGTGGTGGCCTCGCCGCAGGCAGCTGTCAGCGGGCGAAGAGCGGTATGACATAAACCGTTTCGCTGTCGCGGGCGCCTGTCCCAAGGCGGCTGCTCCTCCTCCTCCTCCTCCTCCTCCTCCTCCTCCTCCTCCTCCTCCTACCCCCCCCTCTCTGTCTGCACCTGTTCCGCCTCATCTGTGTCGTCTTCCCCCTCCTCCGGAGGCGCCTTCCCGAACATCTTCTTCGCCAGCGTCAACGCCGTCGTTTCCAGGGTCGGCGGCACTGGCCGTAAGGCCTTCCCAATCAACTTTTTCGCTGTCGGGGGCGCCTGACCCAGGGCGGCTTGAAAAATTATACCCTTACGGTGGCACCATTTATGTTATACCTTTCTTCGCCCGCTAAAGCTGGATAGTGAATTTTGACGATAAGGAGGAGCCAAGCCACTTTCGGGCCTCACTTGGAGCCAGATGCGGAAGGGAACGACGAGGGAAGACATGTGGAGAAAAGGCCAAGAAACATCCGACTTCCTTCGAAACCGGCACGCCGCTGATCCAAACAGTGGACTGGCACACAGAAGCCTCCAGCACCAACGCTATACGTGATGAGCCACAAACTTGGCACAGCATGGCACGGCATTCTGAACACGAGGCACGGCGCGCCGCCTCTTCGCACTCCGAGGCCAGACCCGCCACGGCGCGCGACCTCCCCGCGTGCCGACGCCCGAGCACGCACGGCTCGGGACGGCACCTGCCCGCGTGCTCGAGACGAACCGTGGCACGGCACGCCACGCGGGCACGGCACGGCACGGCACGGACCCGGGCACGGCAGACTCGTGCCACTCTCGAGAACACGCATGGCACGGCACGCGAACACGGCACGGCGGCTGCTTCGCATGTTCGAGATTCGAGACTGGGCGCGGCACGGCGAGGCACGCGGGCACGGCACGGCAATTATTTTCTCGCGCTCTCGTAACGAAGCGCGGCACGGGTTGTTGGCATGGTAAGCGGGCGCGGCACGGGAAATTCCCCGCGATCGGATATTGCAACATGGCAAGGCAACACGGCCCGCGAGTGGCAACTTCAACGCAATATGCAAAGACAACCACCTTGTCGAACACATTCTGACTTCTTGCGTCATTTGCTGTTAAGGGGATTTAGACCGTAGGATTTGTCGGCCCTCTTGCTTCTGCATGTCCATCTGCCCTGGCACCGCTTCACGTTGCCTGGCAGCAGCGTCATGAGCGGAACGTCTCAATTGTGAAGCAGTTCTGGCCATTTCGCGCAGGGATCCTGAGGCCAAATCGCGTGCGAGGAAGGCGGGTAAGGATGGTGATATTTGGGGACTTCCTGGGAAATTCTTGGGCGCCCTCGGATGTTTTCTGGGTCTCCTGGAAGTCTGGTGAGATTCTGGACGTCAGGAGGAGCAACAACACCAATACCCAATACCCAGACGCCTCCAACTCTACGGCTGCATTTCACAATGGTTGCATCAACGTCCCTCTTCCTGATGGGTACTCAGTGAGCCCAGACTCGGATCGATGCAAGCAAGTGCGGGCTTCCTTCTGCTATCCTTCGCCATCCCGCTCGACCTTTGCATTTTCCCGCCGCTCAGTCTGCGCGGATTTCTTGGATCGGCGCTGGAGCCCCCTCCCTGGCGCGTGGAGCGCGCCAGGGGCGGCGCCGGAGGCGCCGCCATGGGGGTCCAGCGCCGATCTCGAGAAGTTCCTGCTCGTGTGCTCTGTCTTCCTCGAATGACACGAACCTCGGCCCCTCCCTCCCCCCAAATGAGACGAATCTCGGCCCCTCCCTCCCTCCCCTCTCCTGCTCTCCATTTTTCCCGCGATCGTCAGCTGGCTCACTACGCCCCCCACATTATGGGACGCGAGCGGCTACAAGTGAGCGAATGGAACGCGGAGGAGTGCACAATAAGGGGGGGGTGACCCAGTGAAGGGCCACGCTAGGGGGGGACCAGCTCGGGAACACCGACCTGGAATCGCTGATACGTCGCCGATGGATCGGCGATAGACCCCCGATGGCGAACTCGCAGGTTCCTGGGCGGGGTGGGCTATCGGGCTTCTCGCGGCGAGGAGACCGGGACTACCCCCCGCCGAGCTTACCCCCCCCGAGCTTACCCCCCCCCCGAGCTTTCCCCCCCCCGCCCCGAGCTTACCCCCCCGCCGGAGCTTACCCCCCGCCGCAGCGTTGTCCCCCCCCCCCCCCCCGAAGCCTACCCCCCCCGCCGCAGCCGTGGCCCCCCTGGCTTCAGGCACTCTCTCGGGCAACTCCGGCGGCCGTGCGGGACGACCTTGGGCATGCACCCCCCCCGGGGGGGGCTCCCGGGCGAGGCGCGGCTGCCGGAGAGCCATGGAGGCCTCGGGCCCGACGCCTCCCTCCCCCCGAGCCTGCCGCCCCCCGGCGTCGGCGCTGCCCCCCCCCCGAGCGCTGCGTGGCGAGCCGCGCGGAGGGCGAGGAGGAGAAAGGAGGGGCCGGGCCGCGCCCCTCCCTGCTCCTCCCAGTTTTTCCACTACCACCAACCTCCACCACCTCCACCTCCTCCTCCCCCTCTCTCCTCCGTCCTCCTCCTCGATCCCTCCATCCTCCTCCTCCTCCCTCCCTCCCTCCCTCCCTCCCTCCTTCAGTCCCTCCCTCCCTCCCCCGCCCTCCTCCCTCCCTCTCCTTGTTTGTCCTCCTTCGCCCCGTCACCCTTTTCCGCCCCCCCTCCTCCCTCTCCTCCTCCACCGCCGCCCTGCTGCTCCCCCCCCCCTCCCCCCCTCCCCTCCCACCCCCTTCCTGCCAGGCGTCGAAGCCCCTTCCCCCCGGGCCCCCCCTCACCCTTCCCCCCTTCCCTCCTCGTCCTGCCCTCCCTTTTCGCCCTCCTTCTTCGCCCCTCCCTCGCCCACCTCCCCCCTCCCTCCTCGCCCTCCTTCCTCGTCCTCCCTCCCGCCCTCCCTCCTCGCCCTGCCCTCTGGCCGAACCCCCCCCCTCCCGCGGCGCCTCCGCTGCGGGCCCGGCGTCGAGCTCCGCGGCGGCGGGCGGCCGCGCAGAAGTGGCGATGACATCCTGCTGGGGCGGCGGGAGACACGTACAGTCGAGGCGTTGACCTAAGGAACCCAAAATAAGGAACGGGGCCCCTTTTTTCCAGAAGTTGAACTTCGATTTCCCTTCGAAAACATAAGGAAAACGCGGGGCAAACTGTGAAACAATCAAGGAACACGGAACCCCTACCCAACGAAAAGAGTTCCTTATTCAGCGCCCCGACGGTAGGGGCGCTGAAAGGAGCGACGGCGCACGGTGTGACAAACAAGACCGAGCCACATCGCATAACTCGGATCACGAGGACTGGCTGGCAGGAGAAACGAGCCCTTCATAAGCATGCCGCGATCACGAAATCGCACTCCGCCGCTCGATGGCCCCATCCCAGTTTGAGGGTGCTCAGCCAACTGCTTCAGGAATTTCTTCTCCACGATCGCGAAAATCGCACACAGTGCGCGTCGCATAATAAGGATGCAAGGTGAGGGTGCGGAGCCCCTGGAAGTCCCGGTTGCCACTTAAAGCTTCTTGGGCGTCAACATTGGTTCAGGGTGGGCCGAAGGAGCAGGGATGCAAGGGTAGCCTCGATGAAGCAGCGCGTCCTCACTATGGATTGTGACTGCAATGGCGCAGCTTTTCCATGATTGCCGATCGATCCGCCTTTCGCGGGCCCTGTGGAAAAAAGGGGGTAGAACAAGGGAGGGAAGGGGGAATAGGGGTTGGGAAGAGGGGGAAGGGGGGGGAGGAGCAGGGCGGTGGTTTTGGAGGGGGTAAGGGAGGACCTGGGGGCGGAAATAGAGGATGAGGAGTGGCAGGGGGAGATCGCGCAGGAGAGGGAGGGAGGGGGGAGAGGTGGATGGGGGCGGGAGGGGGGGCAGGGGAGGGGAGGGGAGGGGAGGGGAGGGACGGAAGGAGAAGGAGGAGGAGGAGGTGGAGGAGGAGGGGGATGATGATGATGCTGATGATGATGATGCTGCTGCTGATGATGATGATGATGAGGAAGAGGAGGAAGAGAGGAGAGGAGGAGGAGGAGGAGAGAGGAGGACGAGGAGGAAAGGAGGTGGAGGCGGAGGAAGAAGAGAAGGAGAGGAGGAAGGAGGAGGAGGAGGAGGAGGAGGAGGAGGAGGAGGAGGAGGAGGAGGAGGAGGAGGAAAGAGGGGGGTAGAGCAGGTTTTTTTTTTTCCGCCGCGCGCACTTCTGCCCAAACGCGTGTCGCCGCGCCCGCCGCCCAGCGCGGCGCTCCGCGCGCCCGGCCGGCGGGCGAGCCCGGCCAGCGCGACGCGGGGAAAAACGACGGGGGGCCCAAGGAACGGGCTGCGCGGCGGCGCCGCGCCACCCGCCCCCAGGGACCCAGGTTTCGGACCCCAGGACCGAAACAAAAAAGCGGCACGACACGACACGACACGACGGGGGACGAAACGGCCACGACACGACACGCACGACACGGCACGGACGAACGACACGACAAAGACGAACCGCCGGTCCCGCCCCAGGGCGGCGAGTGCTGGGGAGATCCAGCACCGCCCTGGGGGAGGCCACGGGACCTGGCGACCCCCCCGGGGGAAGGAAACCGCACTTTGGCGGCGTCCCCCGGGGCGCGGGGGCTTGTCGCCCCGAGGGCCTGGCGGTCCCCGCCTCCGCCAGGGGGCCGAAGCCCGGGGTAGACCAGGGACGAGGGAGGGAGGGAGGGGAGGGTGGGAACAGAGACCGCGGAAGCGTGCGTGTTGGTGCTTGAGGAAGGGAAGAGGATTGTGCTGATGATGATGATGATGGTGATGATGGTGATGATAGTGATTATGCTGCTGATGATGCTGATGCTGATGGTGTTGATGATGGTGATGGTAACGAGCCGCAGCTAGACAAACAAATGAGATCATGTGAAATGCATGAGACATCAACCGCTCTCCACCACCGCCAACGCATCTTCATCGTGCCGTCGGCGGCGGGGCCGCCTCGACTTTGGGCCGGAAGAATGGCCCATCGGCGATGGCTGCCGACAGCACCCGTTCAAGAGACAACCCCCATTGTGCACACGTAGAGCTCTGCGACGCTCTGGCCGTGCACGCCACCTCGCGAGGTAACCATGTCTGCAACGTGGCGGTGGTCAACGATGAGTCAACTATCAACAATGCTGCAATACGCTCCCGCCCCAAGTTCCCTCCTCGTCAACCCCTACAAGCATGATTTCTCACTGCGGGGGGGCACCCCCTTGAAAGGCGCTCGCACCGTGTGACCGCAACTCATGCGGTATCTCAAGGACCTGCCGCACATGCTACAGGCAGAATTGATTGCACAGGACACACGACAAGACACAAGACTCTTCCGACGGCAACATGGCCTTCAACAAGGGTGCCTGCAGCATGGCCTCTTCCCAGGACTGCAAAGGACACGACGCGGGATGCATAGGACACAAGAGTACCCCTGATTTGGCAGAGTTGACCTACTATTCCGGGCCGACTGTACAGTCAACCCGCAGAGTACGGACGCGCGAGAAGGATGCAAGGGCCTTGGACGCCCATTTCGAAGCTTCCCGAGCGGGGCGCGGCCCACGAAAGTGTCCAAGGACGGGCCCAGGAGGCAAGGATGCAAGGGTACCCTTGGGAAGGCTGCCTATCCCTGCTCTGCGGGTCGACTGTACGCTTGATTTGGCAGGGTTGACCTACTACTCCGGGCCGACTGCGTACCAATGGCTCCCAACTTGGCGCTTCGCGCTGCGCGAAGCGCGAATGACTTCGCGCTCTCGCGCCGCCCCCCAGGGGAGAAGAGGAGGAAGGGGAGGAACCGGAGCCCAACCGCGAGGCGCGAATCACTTCGCGCCCCCGAGGGCGCTTTAGTGCGCGCCACCGCGAGGATCACGGCGAAGCCGGGGCCGTGGGCGTGCACGGGCGTGCCCCTTTGACAGCGCCGATGATGCAAAGCTCGCGGCCTCCACCCGTGCCGCAGCGGCACAGCGGCACGCCCCTGTGGCCACGACACATGCGAAGAGGGGCCCACACACATAAGAAGTACACACAGAGATTGCAGGGTTCCCCCATATTTTCCCATGTTTTTCCTGGGTGTTTGTCTTCCCCCCACTTCCCGTAGTTTCCCATATTTCCGGGGGAATCGAGGATTCATTGCGTCTGTGTGATTTCTTCTCCTCCTGAACATTGGGACGTCTCATGTGAGAACGCAACTTCGGAAAAGGAGTCGCCCTATCCAACAGTCTTAACGCGTCACAACAATCTGAAGCATCTGGTATAACAATTCGAACAGGGCTCTCAAACGAGAGCCCCGCTTTGCAAAACAACGCCCTCCAGCCGTGCAACTGTTGCACATTTTGAGCGCCCGAACAAAAAACACGCTGAGGACATATCAAGTTCAAGCCCCGTATCGAGAAATAATCGCCCTCACCATCCGTTCAACTGTTATATAATGAAGACATTCGACGCGTTTCGTGGAAGTACCCAGCGAGAACCCCATGTTAAGAAACTGCCCTGCATCCGTCTGCCTGTCGCAAACTATCAAAATCAATGTGCGCAATGCCAACGAAAGAACCTTCTTTTTGGCAAACGGTTCACCCTCGATCCTTGTGCCTGTTGGACGCTTGCAGCTTCATGCTCGGGAAAGATCAGGAAACCTCGGGCGACACTCCCGGATCGCCGTGACAGCACGGCTGCTGGATCGACAGTTAAATTTGGAAAAGATGGGGGAGGGATGAAGAGAGCGAGATTGGCTTTGAGAGGCAGAGGAGGGGAACAGGAGGGATGGATGGAGGGGAGGAGGATGAGGAGCATGAGGGTAAAGGAAAGGCGTAGGGGGAGGGAAGGAGCCAGGAGGGCGAGGCGGAACGGGTGAAAAGGAAACCTTGGACCATACTCTCCTGCTAGGTGGCGAAGAAGGAGCATCATAAACAGAGCGGTATCGTCGTCTTCCGCCTCCTGCTCCATCTCTTTCCCCCCTCCCCCCTCCTCCCTCGTCAACTCTCCCCCATATCCCTCTCTCTCTCTTCGTTCGCTACCCCTTCCTCCTCCTCCTCCTCCTCCTTCTCCTCCTCCTCTTCCTCTTCGTCCTCCTCCTGCCCCTCCTCCCCTTCCTTCCTTCCTTCTTTCGCACTCCTCCTCTTTCCTCCCGCCCCGCCCCCCCTTTCACTCCGCGCCGCTCCTCCTCGAGGGCCGGGAATACCGGCGCCGAGGACGCGATGGAACCGCGGATGGAGCACGCGACTGCCGCGATGGAGCCGCCGATCGAGCACAGGCTGTCGATCGGCTCCGC